ATACTTTTCTACTACCAATACTTCTACACATCTGACTTGGCTTCTGTTATTCCTTTGTCCTTTCATTTGATTCACCTCGAGTTGCTTTCTTTCCTTCCCATCTTGTTCTTTCTCTTGTTGACTCATCAACCCTTCTGTATAACTCATGTTTTGTGGTTTTAGTTCTAATCCTTGATTGGTTTTCTGTTCTCATACCTCCTTCTTTGCCTTGACATATCTCGAGGTATTTACCCATAGCTTTCTACCCTTGACCCAGATCTGATCTAGCTTCCTTTCCAGCTCTCTTTTGTCTTTCACATCAAGATATCTCACAAATCTGAACCTGTTGCTATTCCTGCATCTCTTGTTTGTGCTGTAGATGACGTATACTCTTCCAAACTTTCGAAAAGTGTTCCACATGTTTGCATAAGTCCATTCATCTAGAAAGTTTGTAAAGAAATATGGTACAACTTGCTTGTACAAACCCCAGTCATATGAGTCTCCTATCTTTCCTTTTTGGAATTGATTTTGGTTGCGCTGAGCTTTCCTCTATCCCACCGGTGTGATCTTCCTCGGTTGCCATTTTCTTACAGATCTTCCATGTCCTTTGCTCTGTGTTGTCCTTTTTACCGTTGTCTGTCGGTCGCCTGTTCTCTCTTTCTCTCTCTCTCTCTCTCTCTCTCTCTCTCTCATTTTTTTAAAAAAGTATATCTCTTGCATACTTACTCCTATACTACCTGAACTCATCTTTTTTAATGTTAATCCCTAAAAAGTTAAATCCTAGGGAGCTTAAGGATTATAGGCCAATAAGTTTAATTAAGTGTTTGTATAAGTTATTAGTAAAAGTGTTAACTAATCGTCTCAAACAAGTGATGTTGGGAATAATTAATCACACTCAATTTGCTTTTATAGGGGGGCGTCAATTGGTTAATAGTGTCCTTGCTTTGAATGAAGTTGTGGATGAGATTAAAAAGAAAAAACAACCAAGTTTTGTGTTTAAAGTTGATTTTGAGAAGGCTTACGATTGTGTGGATTGATCCTTTTTGGATTGGATGATGGATAGGTTTGGTTTTGGTATCAAATGGAGAGGGTGGATGA